GCTGTAGATTTTTACCTCCTCACAGTGGCAGAGACTGTGTGAAACCCAGTTGTGAGAATAAGAAACCAAGTGTTCAAGGTTGCAACAATCACAAGTGTAACATGTTGGTCTTCTGCACTTTGTCGGCCAGGCGGGTCATACTGTTCAGATGGAAAGACCCTCTCCCCCCTTGTATTCTCATTAAATCAAAGAGGTTATGCAATATCTCAAACTAGAGAAGATAAGATAAATTCTATGCAACTTGGCAGCCATTTTTGATGTTTGTGGAAAAAATGGAAGCATAGAACGTAATCCCCTAATACTTATGTTGATCCCCTTTGGTGTTCGTCAGGAATGACTAACTTTCACTCAGTGATGTAGGTCAGGGCTGCTGGGTGGGCAGGTGGGTTCGGGGGGGGGGGGGCACTTGATTTCGGTTGGATGCACTTCTCTGTTTTATTTGATTTTGTACACCGAAAAAATATTCAATAAAAAGACTTTGATCAAGTGCCCAAGGTTGCGTTGACAAGTCTTGACTGTCTGGCTTACACACAGCTGTAAGGAATGGTACACACACTTGAGCAGCTGAAGATTTTGGTTTTTCCAGAGTTGATGAATGTACACTGAATTCCTCTTCTCCACCGTGGCACTGCAGCCATCTGCACCTAACCCAATGCACTTTTTGATTTCCAGTTCAATACTCTGTTGAAAACAGTTCAGAGTGGGGGCAATGGCCTCTGCTGTTTCAACATTTAAGTTAATCAATCCCAAAAAGGTGGACACTATTTAGTTCAGTGTTGATTTTGAGTTGTCTCGCTCACTGACTATCACCAGTGCGTAGGGGGAAAGGGGACAGGCAGGGGGAACGGCATTGTGTGGACGGATCCCGCAGCAGGATAGATATGGCATTTTCTCTTATTAGATATGGTCCCGTGAGTCACGGTGTGAATGGGTGTTAAGACTGCTGTTACATGCCTGGCTGAGAAAAGTGCATTTGTGTTTGTGGGTGTCCCCCCCCCCCCCTTCCCCCTGTCCTCAGGTGCAATCAGCCTGATTGGCCTGCACCTGTGGAGTGTGGGTGCACCTGGACCAGCTAATCCCCTCCCCACACAAAAGGACCGTGCGTGCAGTGCTGCGGTCACTTCTTGTCTCCCTCTGCTCGCTGGAGCTGCTGGTTGTTGTGTGTGTTTTCGATTCTTGACTTTGAGCTAATTTAGTAACTTAAAACAAGGTTTGTGGAGAGAGGTGGTGGATGTAGGTAAGTCGGGGTACCATTTATACATTGCACTCACGTAGGACTCCTCTGTATATACACACTAGGTTTTAGGGTTGGTGCCACCTTTGTATTTACTTTTGGTTAACCTTCTTTATTAGATAAGACTCAGGATTTTGGTTTAAGTTTTATTTCGAGTCTAGCTAGGCCCAGTTTTATTGTACTTTTCAGTTTGTTTGGTACAGCCACCTCGTCCCATCCTCCTCCACAATGGTATTTTGCTAATAGATTTCTGTTTTAATAAACCATTTTTCTTTACTTATGACATGGCTACTTGATTCAGGTTTTGGTTGTCGTTTCATCTCCTTTCTACCTTGCCACCAAAGGAGTCGTAACACTGCATAAAAGTGGTGTCATAGACCACCTCCCCTTTTTTTAAGTGATGGTCGTTCCAGTTTGACTTCAGTGGCTTCTTTCACTCCTTGTGTTATTCTGCATGTGAAGCAAGTTAGTTTCCCCTGTGTACAAGTCTGCACATTACTGACTGAACTGACTATATTATTGTGTTGGCCAATGCACACTTCAGTTATTTAACTTAACTAAATAACTTCTGTTCTAGGAGTGATCTTTTCCTTATTTATCAGCTAGTTAAACCTAAAGAATTACATTAAGTGATCTGATTTTGTTCAGTTAGATTATATGACATCATTACTTGCTGTGACAGTGTGTGAGTGTGAGTCAGTCATCGTGGCAAAATGTGGTTCTGGAGACATCTGCTGTAGTGGGAACTACCACAGAGGCAGTTTTGAGTATTTTGGCTGGTGCTGTTTTCTTCATTCTGATCACAACTGAACACCTGTTAAGTGTCGTAACAGTTGTGAAGCTATCATGTTGACAAAATCTGCCCACAGACAGACATACAGTATAAACACCTGTCACAGTACTGAAAACTGCCCCTGTGGTAGTTCCTGCTACAGAAGATGTGCTTCTTCCTCTTCCCCCTGTTGCCTTCATGTTCTTATCTCCTTCATTTCAGGAGCGTCATCTGAAAGGAACAGAACAACAAAGAGAAACCTGGAGTACAGCTGAGCACCTGCAACCCTCCAATCATTTCAGTGTCAACATTAAGATCTTGTGACTCTGACATCTTAATAAAAACATTGAAAGTGACTGTTTAACTACAGGGAGTAACACAGACATGAATGAAACATATTGCACAGTATGGAAACTGACTGTTACCACCAGCATCAATGGCCTCCTCCTTCTGGCAGGTCTTTGAAATGGCCTTGATGATCTGGGCCTTCTGGTGTTCGGAGTACCATATTTTCAGGCTTGAAATTAGTCCCTTTTTTTGGATATGATTCATTTCTGTCTGTCTTCTCCTCCTGCTTTTCTCCATCATCTTCCTCCTCATTCTCCTGTCTCTCTCTCCTTCCTCCTCTTCCTCCTTTTCTCCCTCCTCTCCTGTCTATCAGCTTCCTCTCTCTCTTCCTGCACCTGTCTCTCTCTTTCCTCTTGTACCTTTCTCTCTCTTTCCTTCCACATCCTCTCTCTGCTAATTCTCCATCCTCCCTTGTCTTTTGTTCGCTCCCTGCTCCTGTCTTTCGCCCTCAATTCTTTCCAATCTTCCTTTCTCAGTCCTCTTCAGCCTATCTCTCATCTCCTTCTGTTTTCTCTCCTTATCCACTTGTGTTCTTCTCACGCTTGCTATTGGTTACTATGCACACAGTTGATTGTATGTATATATTTTTTTAAAATTAATATTAATATAATATTTCCCTCTCCGGTTATATTGTCAAAATTATGAGATAGAAAAGTCATGATTATTAGATAAAAAAAAGTCATAATTACTAACCTTTCATGTTGTGCTTTATTAAAATAAACATTGTGACTGGCGTATTTGGTGACATTGTATTTAAGTATGACAGACATTCATTTAGCAGTGGCTCAATCACAAAAAATATACAATTTAATTTGCATTTTATTGCTCTTACCATTATTGCAGTACAAAGATTGTGATAAAGTCATAAGCTGCCTCACAATAAAATCTAATTGGGTGATTATGCCCCCTTAACCACTTTAAAGTATTGAATTTGTGATAATATCAGAGGGCAGCTTTAGAAAATAAGAATACAAAGAACTTATTGACTGGGAAGATGCTTGAATACCAAAACTACAAACAAAAAAAGATTTTGTAAAAATAAACCGTCTTAGATTTCATTTGTCAAAAGTAACAGTTACATTTTATTTTATTGAACAGAGGTGCAGAGGTTTTTTGAAGTGTCACAAGACGGATGAGCTAAGTGACCACTTAAGGTCACCGCACGTGCCTGAGGAAGACATACAAAATAGAATGTCCCAACCATTTTAAATTAAGTGTGTGAGGGTTCAGGTCTTGGGATTAGGACTTTCTGTGTCTTTATCCTCACTGAGGTAAAAGATCAGAGTTAGCTGGAGGACTTTATTTCTCTCTTTTTCTGTGCCTCTATTTCCTCCTGTTTTTTCTTCTTCTGTTCTTTCTCCTCCTTCTGTTTCTTCTTCATATCCTTCTAGTCCTGCTTTTGTTTCTTTTGAATCTCCTCCTGCTCCTTCTTATCTGTCTTTGTCTCCAGGGGTTGTTTCTCCTCCTCCATCTGTTCTCTCCTCTCTGAGCTGTCTTCTGTCTTGGCGAGCTCTGCTCTGAGTTTCTCCTCCAGAGCATTGAACTCCACCCCTAGCTTCCTTGATCAGGAGGTTTTGCTCTTCTCTGCTTCTCAGCTGGTTTTCAGCCTGAGTCAGCTTCTCAGTGAGATCCCTCTTATCCTTCAGCTGCAGGATTTCAGTTTTGCTTCGGTCAAGCTGCTCATTCATCTCCTTGACCTCCTGCTGGCTCTGCTCCTCCTGCAGTTGGTGACACTTCTGAAGAGAGCCAACTTCCATCTCGCTCATTAGAGTCGCCTCCCAGTGATTTGTGTCTGCTTCCAGGACCTCCTGCTCCCTGGCCTGCAGGCGCTCCTCCAGCTTGCTCATTGTGATCTTATCAAACAGCAGCCTGTTCTCCTGTCACAGAACAGAGAGCTCATGTCGGTTTGTTCTACGACTTGGACGGTCCTGAAGGGCGGCGTCTGCCCTTGTCTGTGCAGGTTTCCCTCCAGACATGGCGCCAGGAAACAGAGACGTTACAGGGGCGTGAAGCAACAGATGGTCTCCGGTCCTGCACTTGTCTGTAGTAGACGTTTGTAGATCTGTAGTGAACTGTAGTTGAGTGTGGAAGATCGTACTGACTGGTACTGGATACTGTGTGTCTGAGAGACAATGTAACACTGAGGTCTACTCTAGCTGTGACAGTTCTAGATTTATCATTGTCATAGATGGTTTTGTCTTCATTAATCAGGAGCTCTAGAATCAGCCTCATCACACAATTACAGTTATTGATTAATTAGATGAATTAGTCATTTTAATAGTCAGATTAGTCAAATAAATGTAAATTATCATTCTTTATAAATATTGCATTTACTGCTTTTCCAAACTTAATTCATAAATTATACATAGTGTGGTTGATCCTAATTATTGTTTTGCTATGGAAACTAAATCAGTCCAAATTATATTCTATAGTATGATCAGTAAGTATAATCTTAACCAAATTTAACCTAAGTTATTGTGCGTAACAGTTAATCTTTTGGTCACCATCTCAGTTCGTTTCCAAACTGCCTTGTTGAATCCACATGGTCCACATGAGTCAGACAAAGCATTTCTTCTTCTACACCAAAGTACAGATATGTTAAGAGACCATAAATAAACATCTATTTTAGCCAGTCTTTTTTTCAGTTTATGGTTGATAATGTGTCCGTTTACTTCTGTGGTTTAAAGTCACTTTGCCACATTTAGGCAAATTTGATATTTGGAGGTTAGGCAGAACTGCACAGGTGGAGGTGAGGGAGAGAAGGCCCAGGTTACCGCTGTCGTCCCTGTGGAGATTTTTGTTGGAAACCGGGGTGACTGTTGAGGTCAAAGGTTTCATGTGTTTGTCTCCTCCTGTCTGGATCCTGAGATTGGAGCGGGAGGACCTGCTGCTGCAGTGCTGCTCCAGAGACGCACTAGAAGACACAGACAAGAACGAACACCAAACGGGGTCACTGCTATTGGTCTGACTGTAATGACATTGTCTCATAATGTTAGTTATACAGCAGCAGATAATGCTGTGCTGATGAAGATGGTGTGTACAATTAAAAAGAAGTTATATAACCTTCATCTCAACATTTACAAGGTTCATAATTACAGCCTCCAAAAATCTACATTTTATAAAACAATTTCAGTTAAAGCAGTGACTCCAATGTTAATGCAGTTGTTTTTCTGTGCCAGTCAGAATTTAGTAGGAGAATCCATTTTTATATATGGTTGATTTGACAATCACCTCTTCTACGCCCTTCCCTGCCCAAAGAGTCAAGGGAGGCAACTGCTGAACTTGAAAGGGCACTAACTTGAATCTACCAAGGCCCAGATTGTTCTCATTTTTTAATGCCACTTTTCAATCCATATTAAATTGATTAATTTAATAAAGTGTCAGAAAATGATATATTATTGTACAGTCTATATACTGTATATGCATGTGTACACACACCTGTTGTTTTCCTCGCCTCCACTGCAGAAGTCTGTGGCTGACGTCAACAGTGTGTAGAAGACCGTACAGCTCGACTGTATCACACTGTCACAACACCAACAATTAAAGAGACGAAAGGAGCAGGATATGAAGTGAAGTCTGTTTCTAATGGTTTGGGCATTATTCTAATAAAAACTTTGACCATTCTGTAACATATCCTTCTCCTTTGGTTGCATGATCAAATTTAAGAGAAGAAAACGCCTCTTCTTTACCTTTTGGTGAGTACGGAGATCAGCTCGATGGGCAGCATGAGGAGAGTCAGCAGATACAAAAACACTTTGACAGGAAGGATCTGAGTGAGCTGAGACCACCACCTGACACCATCATGACTCTCCCTGCAGGCCTCACACAGGACTATCTCACACACACACACACACACACACACACACACACACACACACACACACAACATGAATATTCCTACAACACATCATAAAGATACTGTTGTAGATTTACTGAGGGGTTAATCTACAGCCAGTTCACACATGAAATTACCTCTAAATATTACAACTGGAGAACTCCGTTGTGCCCAGTGAAGTAGAAATAACTGGGACTGTGAGTACACTTTGACCTTGGAGTATTTTACACACAGGTATGTGTTTCCAAGGTCAAGATTGATTCTCCACACTGACATGTCTCAACCAAAGCAAATCTAATGTAGCTTAAAATTGTCTCAAATCTTATTTCTATGCTTTAATTTTGGATGAGATGGGTTTGTTGAGTTATTTCTAAATATATATGTATATTGGATTTGCTGGACAGTGATACAACTCAGTAGTTCCAGTGTTACACTCAAGGTATCCTGGCAGGTGCAGGATCAAACCTGTGACCCCTGCCCCGCCTGTCCTACTTACTTTTTTTGATGTTAACTGGGAGGTTCTCAATGACTTTGTGGTCCAGCCGGCAGAGCTCTTGTTGTGTAGGATTCGGTCCATCCACCGGTGTCTTCTTGGACTCCGCCTCCTTCACCAGCTCACAACAAGCCGGTTTGAGTGCGTCCATCTCTGCCTCCAAACTGTGGGGAAGACACTGTGTTCCAAGCAGATCTATAAGAGACAGGTGATCCAGTTACATGTTATAGCTGTTGCTACACTTGTGAACCAAAAAAAACAACAACAAAAAAAAAGAACAAGAATCAGTTGTGAGGAGGATGAAGGTGGAGGAGTTCACCTCTTTCTCTCAGGAAACGAAGAGCGTCCATGTAGCCATTGTGACAGATCTCAGCCAGTTTCTGTCGAGAACAACGTAAATCATCAAGGATTGTTTGCTCATCTTTTACGCTCCAGAGAACTGCTTACACATCTCAAGATTAATTTGCCTTTCACACTGAATATATTCAATTTCTTCATATGACAGAGAAGTGAGAGAAACCACGTGTAAAAAAAAAAGACAAAACAACTGCAGACCAACCTCAAGTCTAGGAGGTAAGAAGGATGTACACACACGGTGCACATTCCCCGTGTTGACCTGGATGCTGACGTTGCCGTAGTGCACCTCGAAGAAGTTGAATGTGCCCTCTGTGGGGCAGATGTCGCTCTCACCTGAGAACGGCGCCATGGTGATGGTGTTTCTCTGCTCGAACAGCGGCATGTTGTTGCTCAGCGCTCCGTCCATGTAGTGCTGAGAGGAAAGGAAGCCGAGCGAACGGATTCATGAGCACACGATCTATGATTCACGCTCGGCTTTAAAGGAAGATCAGTTAAAAACAAACTCAATACCCTGCTGAATGCATGTATACAATATGTCTTGTACTGCTGTATCAGACAGGGATAGTAAAGAACATATTTGTTCAGTACATTCAAGGAATTATTTTGACATTTAACCAACTTTGTAGCTGGGTTTTCCTTTCGTCTTCTATTCTACTTCAATAACTGGTTTTCTACATTAACCAAAGTACTTTGGTTATCACCTTGTTGCATTTAGTTGTGAGTGTGTCAGTGGAGAGACGGTAAAAAGTGAGAAAAAAGCGACAGTGTTGACTTCAGAGATGAGGATAAGCCTGGGTCATAGTCTCATGTTGTCTGACTGCAGTGCTTTTTAGACTTCTGCTCTTGTATGTTGGTTTCCCTCCCTGTTCTCTGGCTGTTGCTCTAAAAAGATCTACCAGTTGGTTTGAATTAAAATGATTTGAACAAAAAAAATGTTATCTTTTCATGCTCCAAAATTTCCTGTGAGAAGACAAATCAAAACAAAACAGGTCCAGAAATACTGGACACCCAACACAACACAGATGACCCTGATTAAGTCCACAAGCAGAAACACACTGGTCTCACAATAGAGTTGTTCTTTAGCATTGCTGGAGTTTAGATCACAACATAGGCGGAGTTATGTCAGAAATCTCTACTCTGATTTTCTACTTAAATCCCCTATTTATAGGATTTGAAGACTTCTGATTATAGCGGCTTTAAAGTAAAGAAAACTGTAAAACCATATTGTGTAACCATTTCCTGATAATCCTTCGACGGGAACTTGTCAGCTGTAGCACTGAAGGAGAATATAGGAACAGTGAAGCTGAGTGAAACAGATTAAAAGATGCACATGTATCTACTCACCACTCCTCGGTATGAAGGTGGGACGAAACCACAGTAAACAGGGAAAAAGCAGCTGCACATGAGAACCTGCAAAGGGAGACTATAAGTTAAAGCTCCATATGTTACACTTTCCCTGTGTTTTTATTTGAAGTCTTGATCCATAAGAAGATATATTTGTGGTTTTAAGAACCAAAAAACCATCTCAGTGTAGTTTTACATCTCCTCTCTCAGGCTTCTCTCTGGAGCTTTAGTAACAACAGGTCGGTGAGCCAATCAGAAGAGAGGAGGCTCTGAGCCTCTGTGTTTTCTGAGTGGTTGAATAAAAATATAGCAGGTTTCATGTAAACACTGTCACTTTGTTGTGACATCATAAAGTTACAGAAATCCCGACGGCTGGTTTTAAGGTTCAGTGTCTGAATACAGGCTGTGTGTATTTCTCTGTGGACTGAGCGTTTGATACTTTCACAGTATTAATATAGAACCTAGACCTGCTTTATAATCCACATGGAAATCTCCCTTTATACAATATGGGACCTTTAAAACACCAGAATTCAGAAACAAGAGCCTCAGCTCTTGCCATTTCGCTGAATTACTATCTGTGAAATCAGACCAGGCTGCAAAACCTTTCATAGTCTTTGTCTTCTCCTTTCTACCTGAATGAGCTCCTCTCTGCTGTCAAACTCTGACACCAAAACGTTCTTCCCATCAGCCAGTCTGGTGAGGGACACACAGAGCTTTCCAGAGGCCCGGAGGTGGGCGTCCTCTGGAAGTTTCTCCAGCAGAGATGCCCGCACCGTCCGCAGCAGACTGAAGGTGGGGTGGAAAACTCCCAGTGTGTGTTTTCTGGCCTCTTTGGCCATGGTCAACACATCAGCACACATCTGCTCTGAGGAGGAAAATGCAGTATAATCAGTCTTTAGGGAAAGTGATAAATTACAGCTGCATATATTACACAAGAAATGTTAATGTGAATTAATCAAATTCAGCATTTTGTTTGTCCTTTTAAATTCTTTTGGTTCTTGGATGTATTGAGGAAGCAAACATTGTACCTCTGACTCAATGTGTGCTGTCTCTTGGAGCTGCAAAATGCATTCTGGGTAATGTAGGGAATTAATAAGTTGTTGACTGAGGCATTGTTAGCTGATATTTTATTTGTCTCACTTGCTTTATTACTGAGTCATTATTATTTTGTTTTTTTATTATTCATTTTATAATTTATCTATTATAAGTTTATTTTTTGTACTTACATTCTACATTGTTAAAATTCCTGGAAAAAAAACGATACATTTTTTCCCCTTATTGTGCTGTTTTTTTGTTTTCGTTGTGATGTTATTGTGTGTGTTTGTGATCTGCGAGTCAGTGAATGAGATAAGGGAGGAGGATGTTTTTCCGTCATTCACCGCCCTTGGCTTTGAACTCCATGTGACGTCTGGAATTTGCCCTCAATATTACATGAACAATTGTTTGCTCGGAGAGAAAACAAACCCCTGCCCTTCCAGCATGACCAGGAACTTCAATTACTACAGGACAAAAATTAAAACTTGTAGTGGGCATGTGCCACTGTAAGTGCATAATAAAACCAATAAGATAGCTGGTAAAATTTGATTTAAAAACACATTGCTTTCATCTGTTCTTTAATATATTCAATATATTAAATTAACTGCCACTAAACTATGAATGAATTGCTAAGAAATGACTTCAAAAAGAAGTGTCAGACTTTGCTTATTCAAGAGATACATTATACATGTATATATATGGGGAAAATGAATTATTGTAATAGGAAATAGCACATGTAAACTGTGACCGCCATGCATTAAGTAATCACAACTAGGTAAATAATATTTTTCAGACATTAACACTCAGTTTCTAGCTGAAAGATCCCAATATCTATAGTAAGATGAGAGATATACAGTGTGATATTAACTGATGTTATGCTGCACCGTTTAGAATAGACAATGAAAATGCGCATCAGCTGGAAGAGCTGGGAAATCTCTGATCTGCGATGTGACTCACCAATGGGAATCCCAACAGTCAGAGCTGCGGCGACCAGACATCCAGAAGAAGCGCCACCGATTTTAGAAGCACCATAAACCAGCTGCGGCGCCCGCTCGAGGAGACAGCCCAGAGCTCCCAGGTAGTAAATACTCCTGAATCCACAGCCTGCGAAAGAGATGTTCCACTCCTCGTCCCAGTTAAACATCTTCTCTGAGGTTTCCATCGACCGTGATTTTAATGGAAAATCAAAACTTCATCTCCAGTGTTGCAGTCCCTTCAATCATATCTCAGAGTTCAGCTGGCGCATTTGGACACCATCCAGTGTGTCATAAACATGTTAACGGATGTGTTATCTCCACTTCACACAGGGGTAAAGTGGGTAGCGTGTCAGTTTGCTATGGTATTGCACAACTTACTAGGCTCAAACGTCACAAGTTTCAAAATAGAAAACAAGTTGGAATAACTTCACCCACGGGCTGCAATTAGGGCAGATGCAGGACATGTGACTCAGTTTTCATAACTTAGCCTACTTAACCAACATGTAACTGTACACAGTGCTATGGGAGGAACAAAAGCAGAGCACAACAACATCACCAGCTACTGATTTGTGAGGAAAAATGTAAAAAAAAAAAACAATATATAAAAAAAAAAAACTAACTGCACGTGAGCAGAATCTATTGACTTCTATTGACTCTAGTGTTTGTTGCTCCAGCTGAATAATTTTACAGTGGGTTATCACTATTACTCATGTGCCTGAGGTTTGTTAGTTTGTTTTTTGTGAGATGGTTATTTGATAAAAGTGCATCATAATGCAAGTGTATCAGTAAAAGCTGATGAATTTCATATTAAAAAACAATAAATAAAATGCATGAATATGAATATGATGTTTTCTTTCTGAACTTTGTTCCAGTAGCGTTTTTGACTAATTGGGAGTTTCATTTATTCTATATAACAGCTTAGCTTTCAATAGCAGTATTCCCTTGTATCTTAGCTATTGGCATCTTTGTGTTTACAAGACAAAAGGTTATAATACTCCCTCTGAGCAGCGCTACATCCTCAGGGCAGATTGGAGGCTACAGTGAGTCGCTATCAGAAAGTAAGGAGACGGCCGGGGCTAGCTGGATAGCATGCTAACTTCAGTAGAAGAAAAAAAAACTCCATTGCTGCAGACAGCTCTTGGTGAGTAAATGAAGTTTGATGCCAAACTCACAACGTTTCTTCTAGACTTGATCCATTGTTAAATTTAATTCATTAATTAATTAAAAATATTGACAAGTGCAGTCAAGGAACATGTTTGAGTTTTTCAGAAAGACATAAATAGATAAAAGAAGCTCTGGGAGAAAGCTAAAGGAGGCGACAGGAAAAGAAAAAAAAAAATCATGTTATAGCCTGTCAGGTACAGTTACTTAGTGTATCTAATATTTTCTTTGATATTAATGCCACAAAACACGGGACATGTTTGAATTCATTTATTCAACAGCTTCACTTTCTTCTTCTTCTGTGCAATATTAAACATATTTACTTGAATGCAGTAAAGATCAATGGTTTGAGGTAGAGTTAGTCGTGTTCCTGATCCACCCCATAGCTCTGCCCAATCCCCACCCTCTACCTGCACTTTCAAACCCAGATGTGGGGCTGAGGGAGGGCGTGGGGGGAGGAGTCAGGGGCATGTGGTCCACCTCACTGTGTGTGTTCCAGGTGAAGGTGAGGCTGGAGGTGGGCGTGGCTTCTGGGGTCATTGGGAGAGTGTTTGTGTCCTCTTTCCTGCTGTTCCACAGGTTCAGGCCTAAAGGCAGGCTCGTACATCTGTGCAGAGGTGATTCTCTGGAAGAAGGTGAAGACAAGGATTCATCTTATTTAGATGACAGTAAAGTTTCAATGAATTATTATACTTTTAGACATGCTACAGTGTGGCTTTAATGATGCCAATATCAAGGTGTGGCTCCAGTACTTTGGTCCAAAGTGAAAAATCTCGCCAGCTTGGATGGATTGACATGAAATGTGGTGCAGAAAGAACATGATTCCAGTCATGACTATAATCTATTGCACTCAACACGTCATAATTTCCACTAGTCCAACTCTCCGAACCTCTAAAACTATCGAGGACCAGGGTTCTTTCAGCCTCATCTGTACTTTGAGATAACACTAAGAAACACAGAATGTCTGAACCAGTGAAACCAAGGCACAGAGCTGCACAAGAGACATGACCTTCACACTGTATACCTGTCATTGTCCTCCGCTCTGTCCTTCCACGCTTGTTTGTATATGTCCTCAGCCTTGCCATAGAGCCAGCTCATGTCCTTGGGCACATCTGGGATCCAATCCACCAGTCTGGAAGGACAAATTAAAGTGTCAAATTGACACTTATAATTAGCAGTGATGGAAGTCAATAAAAGTCCTGCATTAAATTTGACATAGGATATAGTAACAAATATTAGCATGATGAAGTTCGCAGTATGAAAAGTTGTAATTGTGAAGAATAAAAGGTTGGGTTTAATTTCACAGTGAATCTAAAAGTTGTTCTATATATACATATATATAGAACAACTTGAGAGATTTGGGGATTCTGGGATTTTGATGTTTTCAGGTTAGTTTGAGATGAAAGAAGCAAAAGAAGAAAGGAGGAGGCAAACAGAGGGGTAAAAAGAAAGATGGTATCCAAGGTAAAAGACATTGACAGATAAATGCAATGGAGTACAACGTCACCTAGTGAAATATCGGGAAAATTTGAGGTCCGACAAAAACAGAAATACTGAAGTATGGTTATATTTAAGGATCACAAATTCATGAGGAATGGTTGCCTGGCTTCCTTGGCATTAGAGTATAACGCTAATACAGGCTGGTGCAATGATGGGCTCTTACCTGTGGGCTAAAGAGTAAGGCGACACGACGGGCAGAGTACAGGGGATCTGCAGGTATGACGTCACTTTCTTTGGCAGGTACTCGGTCACGTGGGACAACAGACCACCAGCTGTGTGGGATTCTCTGCAGGCCTCACACAGCGCTGACACAAATACAGTAAAATACAAACAGTTTTACTGCATTCGATCTATTGGACTGGCACAGCAAGTTCAAGCAGGATTTCACTGCTCACATCTGTGTCAGCCTGCACTTCAGTTCCTATACTCACCCTTTCTGATGTCAGCTGGGAGTTTCTCTACGAGCTGTGGATCCAGCCAAAAGTGTTCCTCCTGAAGAGGCTTCAGTCGGCTCCGCTGCGTGTTCACATTGGCCTCTTCGGCTTCAGCCTGCTCCTTCACCAGCTCACAACAAGCAGGTCTGTGCAAGTCCGTCTCCAAACTTCTCAGTGGACACTCGCTGCTGATCAGATCTGTGATGGGCATTTAAATCAAGACAATTTCTGCAATAACAAGCTCTGGATCACACCGCGTTTTTCTTTTCTTCCTCGGCTTCTGTTTTTCTTGAACATTCCAAAACTACTGTGGCAAAGTTTTCTTACGCTGCTCTTGCAGGAAGCGGAGAGCATCCATGTAGCCTTTCTGGCAGATTTCAGACATTGCCTGTAAAATCCGAGAGTGCTTGATGAGGATGCAAGATAGGACCATATAATCTGCAAATATTACAGGGGTTCACTGTCGTATGTCGTATATTTCAGGTTGCAATAATCACTTTTTGACGAGCAGAAGGAAATTTGTAAATCATTTCTGAGCCAAAACACCTTTGAGTAAAGTTTTAGTTCAAGCAGGACTTTGAAAGCAAACTTTAGAAACATGTTTTCATCTCATTTCAAAAGGAGAAAAGAACATGTTTTCTTCACATGCACCACGGGCGCCCTACATGTGTGGATATGGACTGAACATAAAGCAGGGGAAGCTCAATATTTTTTGTTTGATGTTCTTCCTGTTGCTGAACAGCTATCCATGTTGATACTCCAGTTTTTGCCATGGATGTAAGCGTTTAGGGCACAATCAGACTGTATAAGGTATTTTACTGACTGATAGTCCGGCCTGCAACTACATAAAAGTTCCTATCACTGGTTTATCACAGTGATAGGCCTTAATACAAGTTTTTAAACATCTTGGATGTTTTTAAAGATCATTCAGTTTTAAAACATTACTTATATCATTTTTTTTTTATAATTACATCTTTTCCCCAAATTTGTACTGTTGTGCCAGTGACTTGTCGGCCCACTTGCAATACCTCTGCTGCCCTGAACATGTATGTCTCATGTATCCTGAGCTTTAAGGCTCTTTTTCTACTCTCATAAACTCCTGCTGAACCCGCTCCCCTTGTCTGCGCTCACAGGTATCCCATATTGAAACACAAACAAACACAGTTGCATGACACAGCTCACTAATAATCAATATCATTATCAGCTGATAAATAATAACCACATTAAATAACTGGATAAATTGCTGCTTACAGGGAGTGAAAATACCTTCGAATGAAAAAAAAAACATAATACTTCAGAAACTGTTTGGCGGTAACGTGAAGTATATGGTTTAAAAAGAAGCGTGATGTGATTTGAGGTAAATGGGTGAAAACATGCAAACACTGGTATGGTCTCTATTTTGTTTAACCTGACAAATCCTATTTAAAGCTGATGAAACAGTTTTTTAAACTGCTGCAACTGAATCACGGAGCTCCTGCGTCTCACCTCAGGCTCTGGGGGGAAGAAGGTGTTGGCCACTCTGTGCATGTTCTCTGAGTTGACCTGGATGCTGACATTGTTGAAGCGCACCTCATGGAAGTTCAGCGTGCTCGCCCGGGGGCAGATGTCACTCTCACCGGCATACGCAGAAAACGTTATTGTGTTTTTCAGGTGACAGCGAGGCAGGTTGTCACTGACGGCGCCGTCCACGTAATGCTGAGTGGAGAAGGAGGGTGTTGAACCTGACACTGATTCAGGGACACTAAGTAACAACCAGACTGAAGTTTTTAGATGGATGTAAACTGTGCAACATGTGTTCTGTGTATATGAATATGGAACTATTTGTGAATTATGCAACGACTGTGTTTAATTGAGGAGCGGTCTGAGTTACTGTATCTCTGTGTGGTCGAATTTCCTCTGAGTAAGTGAGAGGCACATGTGAAAGACAATAGGTTGGATCCATTATGAGACCTGTTTGGGTTTATTGACAACTTTGTCTAAAGGAAAACTGTTGACCATTACAAGTGACAAATGCTGGGGCGCCCAGGTATCTCACCTGGTAGAGCTTGTACTAAGACTGAATCCTTGCTGCAGCAGCCCCTCTCTCTCTCTCTCTCTCCTAACTTTCCTGTCTCTCTCTCCACTTTGCTTTCATAATAAAGGGCAAAAATGCCCCAAAAAATAACTTAAAAACTAAACAAACACTGTGTTGTAACAGCTTGCTGGTGTACTCACCACCCCTCGGTAGGTGGGTGGAATAACACCACAGTAGAAAGGGACGAAGCAGCTGCATATAAGGGCCTGGGAAAAGCACACACAGTATTACTGCATATGAGTTGTTGAATGAAAAACTTTCTGTACACACAGAAACAATGGTGTGATGGTTCCTCAAAAAAAATATCACCCCTCATTCGTTCAGTCAGTCAGCAACCTTCGCGTTTCTGGATAAAAGGGTCATCTTAACTCCCATATTGTAAAGTGTACCTGAATGAGCTCCTCCCTGGTGTCGTACTCTGACACCAGCACGTTCTTCCGGTCAGACACTCTGGTCAGGGACACACACAGCCTCCCAGAGGCTCGAACATGGGCGTCTTCTGGAAGGCTTGAAAGCAGAGAGTCATGCACTATCTGCAGCAGGTTGTAAGCTGGGTGCAGGGGCCCCAGTTTGTACTTCCTGGCCTCTTTGGCCATGAACATCAAATCAGCACAGCATTGTTCTGCACAGAGAAACACAATACATAGATACTATTAGATGACTTTATAGCTCTTAAAAGCAGAAGTGATTCTGTCAACTAAGGACTTAACACAGGTCATCTCCTTTTATTTGAAATGTAGCAGTTATTTTCTACTATAGACTATTGGTTACTAACATCAAATACTGGATAAAACTGTTATTTTTTACTCTTTCTTCACTGTCAGGTTGTGTCCAGAGATCACCTGGCTAAAATCTTTGCCTAGGTGCTGATAAGTCATCTCTAGTCAAGAAAGTCTTAACTGTGCATGGATGTAAGGACTTTACTTTGTGTATTTGAATTCACAAAAACCAGATGTGTCAAAATAAGATGCAACAATTCGATGTCTCAAAAGTCTCAGCAGAGGCTTTCCTGTATGTCCATTAAAAAGAGACAAGTTGTACACGTGGACACAATGAATCTATACAGAAGGAAACACACGCAATTACAAATTAAATATCGTATAGTCATTTGTGGCATTGACACTGGAGATGTAACAAAGTGCAATACTGCTAAGTGCATTTGATCTGTGCCGAATTATACAACAAAATGTGACCGATCTTTGAATGGAGTTTGGAGTGTCGAGGAGAGACCCACCACTCACCTAGGGGGATTCCAATGGTAAGGACAGCAGCCATCAAAGACCCTGCAGAGGCTCCGTATATTTGAGAGGCGTCTTGCAGGAGGCAAGGGAACCGTTCAAGGATACAGCTGGTGGCACCGACATAATAAATTCCCATAAAACCGCAGCCTGCAAAGGAGATGCTCCAGTCTTTCTTCAAATCAAACATCTTCTCAACCAGCAGAGATCAGGCTGTGTGAATCCACCAAAGAAACTACAACATCCACCTTCCCACAACCTGCGAGCAGCATCCAAAGGTGAGCCAAAGTTCGCCAACTGTTGTGCAATTTGGTCTCATTAGGAGCTATTTTCCTATTGGCTGGAAAAAAAGGTCACATGAGCGAATGAGTCCAAATGATGTGGTGACTAACACCAGCAGCAGCAGCCCCCGCCCCCGCCACTTTTTAATTCTCCTCTGCTGCTGTTTTGTGTCCTGCAGCTCCGCGTGTAGAGCCTTCTAGATACACTTATTGTTTTTAAAATGAGCATTCCTGTAGTGGACTTTGGTGCATACAGCCTGAGTGAGGGAGATGTTACCGACGAGCAGCTGCACAAGTTGAGCAAAGAGCTGAGGACAGCCTTCACGGAAGTGGGCTTCGTTTTTCTGCAGAACACCGGGATCACTCAGGAGGAGGTGAGGCCAGCAAATATAACGCAGATTATTATTTAGCTTATTTAAAGTGCTTAATATGCGTCCTTTTCTCCTGGTATGCGGTGGGGTAGGTGGACCGTGTCATGGGTGTATCCAAGGAATTCTTCCTGCAGCCGGATGAGCTGAAGCAGCCCTTCAGCAGGAGAAGCTTCGCCAACAACCTGAACCACGGCTGGGTGTCTCTGGAGACTGAGAGGTGAGGACACACTTCACCGTCACAACACTTCTTCTCTGCACAATGTCCTGGTTTTAAATTCACAACTCAACTCAACCGCTTTTCAGGTTGAACCCACGTCGACCTGGAGATCTTAAGGAGGCATTCAATACGGCTTCACTTCACCCTGACATAGTAATGTTTCCTATCAGAGTTCGACTTTGTTCATTTTATGTAAGCGGCTCTACCTCAGGATGTGTTGTTAACACATCCCACTTCCTATTGGTTATCAGTAGGGAGGTCAGAGTACAGGTTCATCTAAATCTTTTGGTGTTTTTCCAGACAAAGATCTGCTCTACTCGGTTCTTTTGGAGCTCAGTAGATAAATTGATCTGCCATTATTATCAGCTGATGTTAATTTATCACAGATAAATATGTGTCAGCATATAAGTAGCAAGGAATTGCTGCTAAATGCAAAAAGATATGTTTTATATATGTTATTTAGAAACAGTATTTCCATTACATGTCCACCAGAGAGCACTGACCTCTGTAAGGTGCACTGCTTAGTCCATATTTTGGTCAGAGCTCTGAAATTTCAGTTAATAATAAAAGTATCAGATGTAAAAGAAAAAGAAAAAAAAATAGTTGGTGCTCTAATGCTGTTCCCTTCTGTTGTAGAAGTGGCCGTCATCAGATGCTGTACCAGGGTTCCAGGGGATCCAGACGTGTTTCTTCCAGCGCTGTAAAGAGCTGAGTCTGCGGGTGCTGAGGGTGATGGCCCACAGTCTGGGTCTGGACCCAGAGGTGTTCCTGAGTACACACCAGTTAATAGGAAGTATGAACAGATCACCATTACTCACTGCTGTCACTAAACGGGGGTGTAAGAACAACTGATGATTGAGTGTCCCAAAGACACTGCATGAGTCCAGGTCAGGTGGGATTAAAGAGATTTGCTCAGACACACATTGGTAACAGGAAGTGTAGTGTTACTCACTCAGGTCCTCCACACACTATTTCCCCGCTGGTTTAGTGATACGAACTTTCCTCTCTCTGAACAAACAACTTAACCACACATGTGTACAAAAAATAAAAATAACATTTTTATTATTTCTACTTCTTTTAAGAACATTTCAGAAAAGAAAACCAATCACAAAACACAACATCATCATCTTGGAAGACACAAAAGAAACTGTGTATGTCACAGACCTCTGTCAAGAATGCATTTGTGTGCAAACATTTGGGCTGCACTGGGCCAATAACATGTTTTGTTTAGGTCAGTTTTTACATTTATCAGGTGCATTAATATTTGAAGAAATTCTCATTTATAATGTCTGTTGCTGCAGGGGTTGAATTTACTTCTTTTTGCTTCAAAAATGAACAAAATATGTCATTTTCCCAGGGATGTCTAAACTTCTGCAATCAACTGTGTCCTCAGACTGCCAAGCCTTGAAATAACTTTTTGTTCTAATACCATAACTCCCAATATAGGACTACAAGGATCTTGATGTAAAATACCAAGTGAATTTGAACAGTGCTGTTGTGTTTCCTGTAGCTGATGAGAATGGCACCACGCTGCGGTCTCTGTACTACCCACCGGTGAACAGTGAGAAAGCCAAGGAGGGTCAGCTGCGATGTGGGGAGCATTCAGACTACGGCAGCATCACGCTGCTGTTCCAGAGCTCTGAGGGTCTGCAGGTAATAACACTCACATCTCCACCTCTCTTGCATGCAAGACAAATTACAAACTAAACGTTCCACTTTAAAAACTAACTGAAGCCTTCAGACCATCAGGCAATGTCTTCCGCTTCCATTTGATGTTACCTTTAATCATGTAACAGAAGCTTAGCTTATCTTTTGTCAGTAAAAGGAAGGTTTCTCAACCAAAATTCTGGCCTAGATGTTTGCTACTCTTGGAGAAATGTTCACACGTGTAATCCACCTTAATCCTCAGGTCCGCAGACGTTCAGGTGAGTTCATCTGTGCTCCCAGCATCCCCGGAGCCGTCCTCATCAACATCGCCGACCTGATGCAGCGCTGGACCAGCGATCACTTTGTCTCTGTGGTGGGTTAAGAGGAGTTTTTGCAGATTTGAGTAACTGCAGATTTCTATAAACTGGCTAACTTTTTCTTTAGAATTAGAATAGTTAATATTAATGCAAAAACTAAGACTTTTCACAAATCTCATTTTGACTAGTATTCGACAATAATCATGCTATGGATATAAAAGTACAATTTGACAATAATTTCAACAACTAACACAAAAAGGATTATAGTATAATGTAATATGTAAATAATGGGAAAGAATAAGAAAGCTTCTTATTGCAGATGTTCCTTGCTCTTCAGCTCCACAGGGTTTTGCTGCCCCCTGCTGGAGACTCCAACACACGTCAGTCTATGGCTTTCTTCGTCCAGCCTGATGATGCGGCATTGATCACCTGCTGCGACGGCTCCAACAAGTACCCTCCCGTGACAGCAGGTGACTACCTCATTGAGCGTTTCAATGACTCGTATGGACGAAGCTGAATTTCTAACCATGAATTGTGATCACACAAGATCACAGGAGTTACTCTTGTCAAAACACTGAATATTTTACTTTGGATCCCATGATGTTTTTACATTTCTAATTATTTGAATGTGATTGTGTGTGTTGATGTGTGTGTGACAAAAAGAAGCAAGCCTCAAAACTGCAAGCTCATTCACTTTATTGTCCACATTCAAACCTCGTACAACAGTTTCATAAATTAGTTAGACAGGATTTAACTGCTTTTATGAAACGGCCATAGAAAAATAAATAAAAATACACCTGTAGCAGGTAAACTGGGGTGAACAGATTGATGTGGCATAAAAATATCTTCCTCATAAGATCTGTCTTTGTGTCCTTATTCTCTTATCTGTTGCATTATTCTAAGATTAAAACAGAGATCAGTTTTTGACCATGTGTCTCTTGATTTTAATTCAGTTTCATCGACTGGTGTTACTGAATAAATAAATAATTCTATTATGAGAAATGACAGATTCAGACTATCTCTCTCTCTCTCACTTACACACACTCTCACACACACACACATAAATATATGTAACTTCATCTGTAAGCTAAATATATTCTTCGACCGTCATCAACTAGAAAATCCAACTGAGGGAATAAGCATTTTATGTAGGTGTAAATTTTAAATTTACATTTTCTTTAGCCTTGTGTGCATTAAAGAGTTTCATTGCAAATGATCTAAACCACTGGAAAAACTTCCAAGAAAATGATGGCTGATTTTGAAGAGAACTGTCCTCTTAAAAAAACGTATAAAAACAGTTAAGAGGACAAAATCATTTGAAATATTGACCAATAGCAAACTTCTTTAAACCTAAAGAGAGATACAGAATCACAGTTTCATTTTAACGTGGTGAAAAGAGTTCAAGTCTTATTTATAAAAAAAAAAAAAAAAGGAAAACTAAGAAAACGAAATGCTATTACCACAAGAAAAAAAATCTACCTCTCAGATAGGACCATTTCATTCATTTGCCCGTACTTCTACATAATTTCTAAAGCTACATTTATAACATTCATTTTTTAAATAACGGGCTCTCTTCACCTGAAAAAAATAAATAATTTCCAAATTTTTCTTCCTCTAAGAGACAGTACCAGTGACAATGAACCACAGTGTACACTAAACAAAACATTGGCGGATCAGGCCAAAAGCCCCCCCCCCCCATTCCACCCCAAAGCACTTCCCATGGAGAACAGAGTCCTCGTTGTGATAAAACGTCAAAATGACAAAAACAAAAGGGTCGATTGTCCACATAGAGAACTGGACCAGATCCACATTTTAAGTCTGGTTCATGCAGCCGAATGAAGGGGAATGGCATGTCGGGCACTAAATCTGAAGCCTGAAATCAGATTCTAATGTGCTCTTAATACTTAAAAACATATTTTTGTCTTGTGGTGTTTTGGAAATCCTAAAAAAAAAAAAATAACAGAAAATTAGAATCATTGCAAAATAAACACTCACACACACACACAAACACACACACACACACACACACACACACACACACACACACAGCACACAGAGTGGTGAGGCCTGCTAAGAGTGTCCTGGCACTGGTAAGTCTTGCTGCTGGTGACCAGGGGGCAGAGGTTGATTGTTTCCTGGTACAACTGCTGCTGGTTCACCTTCACCTACAGGAGAGTCACATTGGCACAAGTTGATGGCATTTACATAATCACGAAGATGATGATGAAAGGCCATCAAATTTTACAGAATGATAACAAGGATAATATTCCCCTCCTTATTTACAACTTGTACTGATGACAGCTGAGTTTTGAGCTTCTTCAGATACGACTACTGGAGACATAGAAGCTTCAAGTTCTGCACATTTTGTTTTTGTGTACCTTTGTTTTTAAAAAAAAAAAAAAAAAAAAAAAAAAAAAAAAAAAGGTACACTTCACTGATTTTACAAATTAAATTAGATTAATTTGTACTAATGAGGAGTACTACTGCTACTGAGCTTATAAAAACAATGTCTTCTGTTGCTCTGAGAAAATAACCCTGGTGATGTCATAAAGGTCATCTTGTTTTTTTGCTGGTTTACATCCAATTAAAGATGCACTGGGAATTGTGGGTTGTAGCATTAGGATGTCTTGGCCTCTTCTTTTTGTTTCCTGTGAGTCCCCCTTTAACTGTGTTACTATAAAAATCTGCGTTAACCCTTGGTGGTTAAACTTAGACAACAATCTTTGCAATGCGATACTTACGTTTGACCTCAGCTTTTGTGCTTTGGGCTTTTAACCTTTCCATTTCTTCTACGGCCTGAGCAGAGAAACAAGGAGAGAAAATGTTACAGCATCACAAAGTAAGTGGGAACCTGCTCAGTTTATTCACTTGAATATTTTATAGTCTGTAGAGTGCCGACTTTACAGACAATATAATATTGTGCAGGTGCAGCTCACCACTTCTGTTACAAGGCCGTAAATATTTCTGAACAAATCATGCATATTGTATGATCAATTGGAAATGATTTAAAGTCATCAGAATTCTGGGTTACTGTGTGGATATTACTCAGTGTATTGGACTTGCATCAGGAAGAAATCCTAATTCCTCATTGTATTTTACCCGTATAATAACTTAATAATTAGTTTTTCAGTTCACCTGCTGTAGCCCCATCCTCTGAGCATTAAGTTCTTCTTGTTTCTTTTCAAGCTCCTCCCTCTGTTTCTGCAGCTCGACCGACTTCTTGTTGATGTCATTCTCCTCATTGGCCAGGTGCTGTTCATACTCCTTCAGCTCCTCCTCAGTGTAGAAGGAGTTTTGATCTAAAGTCTGTGGGGGGAAGAGCAGCACATGGGGCAGGGAATGGTCAGATGTAATGATTTATATAACGAATAGGGTGAAATTCAGACATGGATACGTAACCGCACCTGTCAAATTTTGTCAACTCATATCAAAATATAGCTTTTACCTCCCACTCGTCTTTTTCGAAGAACTCCTCCTTCTTAGTGGCCGCCATGAACTCACTCATTGACACAAGTCTGTCTTTATTGGTGTCCACCTTAACATCAACACAAGAAACTGCTTTAATCAATGTCCGTGCTATTACATGGTATTCAAGATTAACTATTGGCCACAACACTCCGGGGGGGACAGGAGGAAGAGTCAACATTTCAACTTCCTGCTGAAGCAATGACTCTAGTTTCCACTGCTGTTACTGTTCACACCACTGGTAATGTCTGCACAAGTTTGCAAGTTTCACTTCTGTGTAGAAACAGACAATTCAAGTGACACTACGATGTATGCATAATGTGTTTTTCCTCTCATCTAGTGTTCAAGGAAAATGACTTGATTAATCATTTGGGAGTGATATAATATATAATATTTCTGACTGAAACATGATATATCTGACATCAGTGCTGCACGTTTGATACAACATGGGGGGGAAAAATTCTAATGAAAAGTCTTTTACTGACTGCACTCTAGGTTTGCTTGTGTCATTTGTGGGCATGGACAGCCATGATCATCATCGCTGTGTTTATGATAAACATAAGAAAACCTCCATATTTGCTCTGTCACTGTGGCAGCTCACCTCATTCATAACATGCTCTCTCATTCGCAGCCTCTCCTCCTCCATCTCAACCATATCATCCTCTTCATTTTCAGGGTTGTACACCTTCTCCAGCTTCAAGACAAAGACACACACAAACACAGATACACAATTACGCCTTCATTTATATATTACATAATCCTAACACATGCAGAATGACGGCAGTTAGATGTAAACAGGTTAACATAAATACCTCTTTAGTGAAGAGAGCTTCAAGCTCAGTCTCATCAAAGAAACCATCTCCATTACTGTCTGCAACACAAAAGTGATTGGAATGAACAAACATCCCTTTTTGATGAGTTTTGTGACTAGCTGTAGAATCACACTTCAATGCTACATTCAGAACTAGTCCTGTTTCAAGGAGCTATCAGTGGAAACCTTTGGTAATTACAGATATTTTTGGCTCTTTAGAGACAAATATGGTTTCAGTGGTTACCGTGCATTTTGAAAAACGTCTTGGGGTCAAAGTATTCTGGGTCCAAACCATCTGCCTCCTGCCACACCTCCTTCAGCTGGTCCTCACTGCCCTGCGCACACAAGCACACGCACACACACACGAATCAGTTCAACTTCATTTTATGCATTTTGTTCATCCTCCCATTCAAGTCTAAATAAAACCTGCTCAACTGACAGTCCCAATAATTCCTCCATGTAAGAACTCAGATTATAACTGAGAATAATGACAGTTATAACTACTGCTCCTAATGAGCTGCAATCTCTGCTGCATTGACGTCATTCCGGCAGCAGGAGACTTACAGGATGGTTAACTTTGGGATGATCGGCGTGCTTCTTCTTCATCTCCTCGTAATGCTGCTCTTCCTTCTTGCGGTCCTCCTCATTCATGTTCTTCAGACGTTCCCTCCTCTCATGCTCCTTCATCATCTCGTATCTCCTGAACTCATCATGGCGGTCCTTGTCGAAGTTCTCCAGGTCTTTGGTCGCCTACAAATGAAAACAAAATGTTGAGGATGGGAATTCATACCTGGATTGTTCAGCTTTTATTTGCACACTTTTTCTGGAGTTGATTCATTCCATCCAACACAAGTAGTAAAGTCAGAGTCGTTCAATGGAGGATAAAGCAAACTACTTGGCTGAATAGATTTCAATTTCTAAGCTCACCCAGGGGCCCTGGCAGGATGCTGGATCAATCACAGACATGCTCTTCATGTTTACCTCATGCAGGGAAAGTTTCACAAATTGTTCAGTGCTGATATGCTTACAATTTCTAATGGCTGCTGATCAAGTGCTGATACACCTTTGTTCTGCTCTACAAAGCCTCTCAGTGGCTGTAATGGCCTGGGAAGTAAAACTGAGAGAAAAGACACCAAAAGTTGATCTGATACTCTAAGAAATAATGTTGTTGGTACAGTTGGTTTGTTGATATGGAGTCTGAAAACAGCTGTTTACCGTTGTAGGGCTGAAGTATGATTAACTGCTATTGATGTTCTGGATATTATAAATACACATGTGATTGTCCTAAAATGTCCTAAAGTGTCAAAAGCTCAGTCTGTACCTGGCACCCACTGAGACTGTTTTGTAGGAACATATGGGTAATCCTTTATTCTACAGCTCTGCGGATACCTTGAACACAGTAAATGGAAATGTTATGACAGTTGATAGGTAAGTGTCAAATGAAAGCCTCATCAACAATGCAAACACTCATTTTACAGTACTGTTTGCATTCCACCAGTTCCAAGACATTAACAGTATATAAATGACTGTAGAACAAAGAATAACACTAAAACAAAAACTTAAACCAAACAAAATAATGTCAGGATTTACATGGATATGATTGTTAACTCCACTGTAAAAGCAGAGAGATATTCAAATCCAGTAAGATGACTTCCTCTTCCTGAATTCAAAGGAAACATGTTCCTCTCTAAATCCAATGAATTTACCTCTGGTGAGCTAGTCTCCTCCAACCAAGCACATAAAGCTGCTGTGACTGCCTCCAAGTTATAACATCTAAAATCAAAACAGGCCGGACTGGCAGAGCTCTTATGCGATTGGTCGCACTGTTTGACACCTGTAATTCTCCCGCCATGCTTATTATATATGAGGCAAGGTGCTCTTTTCTGTGATTATATGTATGACTGTGATATAGTTACACATAAGCAACAGCACTACAGCAGGGGAACATGGTCTGTATAAACATAAAACAAAAACAGTCTCCAGCAAAGTGTAAAAATGTGTATATGAGATAACCTACTAGTGCTAATGCCTGCATGTGCCACAACTGCAGCTGCTGCATAAAAGGTTTTCATTAAAAAAAAATAAATAAAAAAAAACTCATCTACTATAGTAAAGATCTATTTAGCATTTTTACATCACTGTCTGTACCGATTTGATGAGGCGGTCCAGGTCCTCCACCTCAAAAGTGTCTGGGTTCATGTGGTTCAGGTGCTCAAACTGTCTCAGCAGGGCCTGATGGTCCACTGTCCGGCCTGTAAGGGAGGGAATAATGAGACGTTTTACTGAACTGTAAAGCTGTTAGATCAAGTGTTTTAAAAAGGTGAAGCAGATCTTTCACTTATTTTAGACTGCATGTTCTAAAACCTGAGACTGAGCGATTGTGGCATTCAATAAACTGACTTGTTTGGTTACTCTTCCCCATGTGCTTTCCAAAGACATTTTGTGCTTCAGCAGTTCTTTAGTGTACTGGCACACAGCCAGAGGTAAGCACAGGCTTTGTTTACTTAAGCTACAGATCAAATTTACTCTGGGAAAGAGCTCAGGAAGAGACGGTAAGGGTAAATGTATTTCTAAACATAATGGTAAGCGATTTCTGTTTTTGTATTTAATCTGCCACCATCTCTACAATGTTTTTCTACACATCCTGTCCAACTTGCATCACCTTGTCATAATGTCTCTGAGTATTATGTTTTTAAAACATGTTCACCTCAACCTGTACTTCTGGTCTTTAACTACACTTATGAATATTGATGGATTCTTAATCTAATTTCAAATTCAATTCAAAATTCAACAGTTCCCAGTGGCCAGTAGAAGTCACTGTCAGCTGAGGGAGGAAGTATATTACATCAGGTTCCTGTGTCTCAGAGCCACATTAGACTACATTAGATGATGACCCAAGTGCTGGCTTCTTTTACAAAACTTCTTGTGCAATGTCAAGAAGCACACGTTTGTCAGTGACACATCAGCAACATACGCAGGATACTCACCATTCCCCTCCTGGATGTCATTTTTGGCTTTGAGGAGCATCCGTAGCCTGCTCATCTCCTCCCTCTTCAATTCGTCCAGCTTTGTCCGAAAATTGTGATGGACAAAGTCCAGCTCTTTGGAAAGTTTGCCTTGCTGCAAGCACAAAATCAACACACCACGGCTCAATACGAATTGTTTGTGTTGGTAAAAAGCTTACAAAGTAACAGGCTGTTTAGTGAGTGTGTAGCTGTACCTTGATATCATCCATGTTGGCATTTTTTAGTTTTTCTTTAAAGTGGGGGTCTTTCTCGAGGTACTCAATGACTTCCCTGAGGTAGCGGTCATAGTGCAGCCCAGTCTCCTGAAGCATAAACGAAAGCACACATCAGTGTTTAATTTGTTCATGTCTAACTTGAATTAGGGCTATTACCCGATATTGTTGACATTTGTTTTGAGCAAATACTATAATATAAACTAAATTTACATTTCTCTGTCAATCTTTGACTCACAAACAGGTTCATGTGAAGTAGGTCTTTCTGAGATCATATAAGCCCAAACAGTTCCCTCCTTTGGATGACTGAGAGGTATTTGGTGTAATAAGCTATATGACTGAGATTTAAATGAGAGATGTCCAGCTGACTCACAGCACTCTGTGGTGGCCCCAGCTCCTCCTCATGAGCCTTTTCTTTGGTCTTGTCCACACTGATAGGCACTGACTGGATACAAAGCCACAAACTCAGCAGAACCAACCCACAACGGGCCAGTGCTTTACCCCTCACCATCTGGTTAAGGACAAAATAAGAAATAAAAAAAGGAATTATTTGGGTATGATATTAAGTGAGGATGGTACATCTTACTCAGGTTTGTTTAATTATACTGAAATTGTGCCTAAGGCCCATGTGTCAAATGTTAAACCAGTAGAGTGTGGTTTGTGTTTACAGAGGACTACACACTCAATTTCTCAAGCATTGCAAAAGGGGTACAAACCACAATTTCACCTGGAGGCACAGTGGGATGAGGTTATGCAAGTTACTCTTAATCTGAAAAGCATCTCTGTAGTACAAGCGAAGGACTGTGCAACACACGTGTTTGGTGGATAAAGACACACCGAGCTTACTTTAAAACAATGCCTCTGCCAGAGCCTTACAAACTGAAACCTGTAACTGCCTAACAAACACATAAGCTAGTGGTGTCTTTTACAGAACAGGTAGTTTATGGTGAGGATGGCAGCTAATTCATTATCCCATAGATATAGAAAAGCTACAAAACAAGCCCTAGTATTTATAATACATTTCAATAATTAACACAGTTAATGTAAAATAACACCTATTTGTAAAACGATACTTACTTCGAGCTTCTGTTTTCACTCTTCACTGCGCTGCGACTGTTCAGTTTTCCTCCAAGTGCCCGAGCTTCACTGGAGCTTGTTTATATCCTGTCATCCACCACCAATACAAGCCTCCTATGGCCACAACCTACAGAAAAAGGCTGTGTTCACCATGGCAACGCCCCGCCTCCACCGCCTCTTATTGGGCAGAAAAAGTGTACTTTCTTTGTGAAAGAGTCGCGTTGAGAGCTGATTGGCCAGTACACGTGTCAGTCAAAGTCTAAGCAAACGGTCAACCAGTGGCTTAAGGTGCGTTGAGCCAAACCGTACGTGGCGTTCAGTCAACCTCCGGTGAGGGCGGAGTTAGTGTCTGGCGTAAGAGAGAGAAACACTATTCATAGCTTAAATGTGGATTAAAATGTACTGTTTGTGTGTTGTGTATTGAGTATTTAGTCTTGATAATTGCTTCATTATGGAACATCTCGTTCACATTTTATACAACACACACATAGTTGGGAGTTTATTAGGTACACCTGGGTAAAACTAAGGCAGTCAACATACAACAGTCCTGCAGTAAATCCTACTGTCATGAAGGTTTCATTGTTCCGTTTGTGTTGAAATTGTTTTAGAGAGGTGTTGATTCATTTTGGAGAATGCAGTTTGTGCTGGTGTTGAACAGTATGGCATTAAACACATTATTTATCCCCCCTCACTGACAAAATAATAGAAACACCTGTGGGACTCACGCAGTGCAATTCAGCAGCACCACAAACTGCAGTCTCCACAATTACCATAAAATTAAATCAGCACCTCTCTAAAATAGTTTCAACACAAACTGAACATTATGACCTGAAGGTAGGATTTATTGCAGGATTGTTGGATTAGAGTACATTAGTTCAGCCAGGTGTACCTAATTAACTGCCAACCAAGTATATGTACTAACAGCAGTGGAGGTATTCAAATCTTTAAATTAACCAAAAGCAGCATCATAACATAACATCATGTAAAATGTTCCAATTAAAGTAAAAGTTCTGTGTTCAAAATGTGTATTATCATATTGTGTACACACAATAAGATATATATATATATATATATATATATATATATATATTTATATATGATGTTGTGTGGACATCTATGTTTCTGTTGGAAGAGGAATATGTCCTGGCTGTGAAAAAAAACAAACTCACCCGTTATTACATCATGCTGCATGGGTATAAAATACAACTGCTATGTATAAAATAGTATAATGTATATGAAATTTGTATGAAAGTTGCCATAATCATGTATATATAAATACATATAACACAGAGTTGTATTTGTATACAGTTCATAGCAGAACATTATTGTAATCAGTGTTATGACCCAGAGGTCATTTGGAGTACTTTTCTGATGTGTAATTTGTGTGTGCTTTAATGTGTGCTGGTGTTGTGGATATCTCTCTTTCTTTCTAGGGTTCCTGCTGAGGTGTGTGTGTGTGTTGGGATGTAGGTGTGCAGGGGCTGATTGAATGATTGACTGTGTGAGTTTGTAGGTTGTTCCAGGGAGCTGATTGGTGCCAGCCTCCAGGCTTGCAGTTTTAAGGCCAGCTTCTTCCAGTTTCTGCAGGGCCTCATCTCTTCCACTTCCAACCAGCCTGCAAGCCAACATGTTCGGATATTGTATATAGTTGCTCATGTGAAATGTCAGCCCAGGTGCCGTAGGGGTGGGTAGCAATTTTGTTTAACCTAATTTTCTCCTGTTTTTGTTAGATTAGGAGTTAGGTTAGTGGCTTGTTTTTTTGTTTCTCTTTTGTTTGAGTAGGTAAGTTTAGGTTCCTTAGTCTTAGTTACTTCTGTTTGTTATTTTGCTGTTAGCCCACCCTGAAGAGAAAGAAATCTTGAATAAAAACCTTAATGGGCTGTAATTCCTTGTGGCTGGTGGTTCTTGGGAGCTGGGAAGAGGGGAGTCTCTCAGCATTCATGTTGCGCCAGGGTTTCCCCTAGGCTGGGTTGTAACATCAGTGATACATACATTTTCCTCCTACTGGTGATAACATATGGGAAACAAGCTTACATACACAACTAACTTGAAATGTAAAATATGCTGTAGCAGTACATAGTGCAGACCACAGTGACTTGAGACTTCATTTGAGACTTGGGATTTGGGACACAACACAAGTTTTTTTGCAGGATAACGCTGCCTTTTTCTCTTTTTTTATTGTCAGAAATTCTAGAAATACTCAAAGTCTGTGTAATTAGTTCAGATCTACAGAATTTTATTACAAAAAGATCCAATGAAGGGAGAACTACTAACTACTACTAAAAATAAAATTTATATAATTATTTATTACAATATCTTATATTATTATTATATAATGATATTATTATATAATTATTATAATTTATATATTTATTGTAGTCTGAATTCTAATCTCACACTTGATGGCTAATTTATACAGAGAAAGTGAAAAGAAGACCTATAGTTTAACGTGCTTGTGTTCCATTTCATGTATTGTTCTACAAATCATTAGGTAATTTAACCTCTGTCATGATTCTTGTAAACTGTGACACAGGCCATATGTGATGGTGTGTCTCCCAATAGGTTCTGTTGGGACAGTTCAAGTCAAAAGTCCTGGGCTGATTTTTATTCCCACTCCATCCCTGTTCCCTCCCTTGTTATCATGTATTACTTTATAGATAAAGTAGTGATGATAATGCAGTACATGCTTTAAATTCCTGAGATGCGGCAATGCTCTAAGCAGACCGGATGGCATGCATGGAACACTCATCACAACCATAAGTGACTTGAGACTTGACTTGGACTCCATTTTCTGCTGCTTTATATTTCTAATCCACTACATTTAATAGGCAAATATTTTTAGTATTTATTTGATAACTAAAAATAAATAACATATAAGATTCTGAAATGGGCCATTCTGCATAATGTCTTCTTTTACTTAATGTACTTGAAACTACTACTTTATACTTTTTCTTATTTGTTGATTATATTTTGTATTATAAATCTGCAAAGTAACTAAAGTGATCTCTCTCTGAAACGTGGTGGAGTAAAGGCATAAAGCAGCAAGTAAACTGTAAGTACCTCAAAATTGAGTAAATGTTTGTTGTAATGTGATGATCCAAAAATATGGTCTAATAAATAATAATTTACCTATGACAAGAGCCATTCGACTACATTTTAAGTACATTTTGCAGATCTTATGCATTTTTGCTTAAATTACATTTTTAATGCAGGACATTTACTTATAACAGAGTATTTCTACACTGGGGTATTACTACTTTTCCATAAGTCAAAGATTTCAGTACTTCTTCCACCAGAACACGCTGGACTCAGCTGTATGAACATCCCTCCAGGATTTACGTAAATACATTTATTTCGACACTAACAGCTGTGGCCCACACAGCGGAGCTGTTCTGCTGTTTAAGCCTCAGTAAAGTGACCCAGCCTGGCAAAGACGCTATCCAACCGTGTCCAACCAAACCTCCATCCAACCACCTCAACAGGAACTGACGTCCCCTCTGTGCAAGTGGATGGAAAAAATGCAGCTGCAGGAAAAATGGCTCCAAACACCGCACCGCTGAAAGGTGAGAAGTTAACCTTTTTTTTTACAGTTAATGTCTGGGTGTAAAGTTTTAGCTTGTACTCGCCTGAATTCGTCGGTTCCGTTGTATCAGGTCGTTTCCCGTGTGACCAAACCTGCATTTCTTCCTTGTTGTGGGCAGTTGGCAGGACCAAAGCAGTTGCCTGGATACTTTTAAATTATTAATTCAGTGTCCTCAAAGTACGGAGCAGTCATGTAAGTTGTCGTTGTTTAGCTAAAGTCAGTCGTGTGTGTGTGTCTCTGTGAGCGACATGGTTGCCTGCTTTGTGTGCAGTTGTATTGGGTTTAGCGGCTAAACTTAGCATCCAACAAAGTTAAAGTTCCAACCAACCGCTATCAAAAGTATCAAGAAGTGACTTTTGATCGGGCTAGCCGGGTAAGTTAGCTAGGCTACTTTCATATAATCAGTTGAAAGCCTGTGGTCTCTTATTAACAATCAGCTAGCTCCTATTTTAAGAGGCGTACAGTGTTAGAAAAGCGAGTATTTATGGACTATACACATCAGTTGGTGTCAGGTGAGCATCAGCCGACAGGTTAGCTTAGCCATTTGGGTTGTTTACAAAAAAGACGTTAGTCGTTTTAAAGCCAAAAATAAACTGCTCGATGTAATTGTGCCGTAGCGTTACTTTCATTTTGTGACATAGACAAACAAATCACATTTCCGTCGGTTGACTGTCTTCCAAAATCCTACGTGATAATACAGTATCCCAGTGCTAACTATTAACACCTGGGATATGATGAAATTCTGTTTTCCTCAAAGTCATTGGAGGAAAAGTTGAGCATTTTAACTCATTGAAATGCAGAAATGAACATTATATAGTCTGAATAACATCCTTTTTAAATGGCCACTAACTGACTTAGAGAGGTGCCAAATGGGCAATCATATGTTCAGTTAAAAGTCTTGCAGTTTAAAAGAAAGGATAAATTTAGAGTTTTTGTGACTTTGCATGAATTTATTAATTCAGATGCAGAGTAAACCACAGTGAAACAGCCATAGGATTTTTTTTTGGATACTGGCCAAAGGGAGGACATTAGGGATTTCAGCTCTCCACTGCTCCAATATGGCCCTGTCAGTTTTTGTTTTTGTTTCTTTTTATAGACATAATGTTCTGCACAGGCCAGCCTCAGTAGTAGATAAGCCAGTGCAAAAAGAGAGAGCGAGAAACATGATGTACTGTATTGTTTCCTTTACTTAAAATGACAGAACATAACTTACAAATCTCTGAACTTGATCTGGTTACTTATTTCCCTCTTTAAAGATGTTGTCCTGTACTTTGATCAGCTGAAGAGTGTATTGCCAACATCTGCACTTTTGCAATGCTAGTGGAAGCAAAGCTCTCGCTCAGTCTCATGAGATCAAATTCTAAATTCAGACTATGAAGAAGAATTTTGGTGTACTACGCTGTGCAGACAAACAATGTTCAAATCAACAGATCTTTGTTTCAAATTGTAGTGGGGATTGCAAAGTTTCAGACACCAATTCTGTTTTTTTGGTGGAAATGTGTATAAAATTACACTAAAATA